AGGTACAGGAGAGATTCTTTTAAGCGTTGCTGAGAAATAATCAGTTGGGAAGAGAGAGAACAAGTACAACAGCTGAGGCAGCCTCTGCTCGCTCCCTGGGGTCAGCTCTCTGCAGAAAGGAGTGTCCTGCACTGGCACAGTATTTTGAATCACTGGACAGAATGTATAGGTGACGGAGCTGATAGTAATGTGTGTGGAGTAAATAAATCTCCCAGTGTTATAATGATTCACCAAAATGTCACGTACTGCAGTGTTTTGTTCTCTACTGGGAAGAAGAGGAAAGAAAGTTATTAAAGACAACTTTCCAAAGAATGTCACCTATAATCCCTTCACCTTCAACACAAAAGATATTTTTATTTCTTACATGTGCCAAACTTGTCCTGACTTCCCTGTGATTTACAGGACTTTAAGCAGGTTTTTCATGAATTCTGAACCTTAGTTACCTCATCTTTAAAATAGATAGGCTAACAGTATTTACTTAACAAGCCTGATGGAAGGGTTAAATGAAACAAGGCATCTTTAAATGGTTTGGCACAGCATGTTATTGTTTTCAGTTACTAGAGAGAGGGAGCTGCACTTGCTGTCTTATTTTTGTATTTGACTGACTGCTCTGGTGGGGTGAGATAAGCACTAGTTTGGAGTCCTGACTTTGCCATTTACTAACACTTTGCCTTTGGGGGCAGTTACTTTCTTCTCTCCCTAACCCTCCTTAACTTCTGTGAGTTTCCGTGTCCTCATCTGAAACACAGAGATAACAGCCCTAATTACAATTTTGTTATAGGGATTCAATGAGATAGAACACACTGTGCTTTTAAAGAAATCACTAAATTGTAACTATAAGTGCTCAATTAATGGTAAATATGATTTGTTTGTTCATCACTTGATTCAATGCATATGTCCCTTAAATTGATGTATCATAAATTATTGCCATATTTCATCCTACTGTCCATAAAATCATTGTTGAGAAGCTCCATAATTCCATCATTTTGATGTGCTACATATCACGAAACCATTCATGTGTTTAGGGTGGTTAGCATGTAGGAATCCAACGCAATGTGAACTTAGGAAGGCAGGACATTTTATTTGTTTCATTTACTCATATATCCTCAGCAAATATGTGCCAGATATTCAGTAGGTGCTCATTAAACATTTTTGTATGAATATAACTAGTAGTTTTGCTTAAACACACTGCTAGATTACATGGGGACAAAAACCACAACAATAAAAGCTCTGATCTCAGGGAGATCCCAGTCTAGAAGATACTGCTGAGTCTTTCATCATTCCGTAGATTGGCTTTAAAGGGAAACTATAGAGCTTGAAATCATTCCCAATAAGTGTATATCCTCTGGATGTATATTATGAATTTGCTAGATTGTTCAAAATAAAAAAAAGTGGAGATGATGCCACTCTCCAGAATCCTGTGTGATTATCATTGGTCAAACGATTTCATGGAGAACTACAAGTCAAGGGAACCCAGTTTTCTTCTTCAAATCATGACCATAGACTAATGTTTCGGTTATAATTTAGAATGGACCTCACACCTTCCAGTATTAAAGTAAATCTATAATTTCATTTATTTTATTTGTCTACATGATTGATGTATCTGGAATCAAATTTAGGGCTTTTTGCTTCTAGTCTATATTATTAACTACAACCATACACCATCTCTTTTCTATTATATAAAAGTATAAATTTTGTTCATGGAACTTATTAAAAAATACAATAGGGAGATCCAGTGTTGACAGTATTACCTCAGTTAAGTACTATAGCAGTACATGTCATAACTTACTACTCTTAGACAGTATCTCCAGAAATGACTTCAAAATTCAAGTTTATCACTGATAATGTACCACTTTGGACAACTGTTTTTATGAAATAGTTCACGCATATAAAAAATATATGCAATATATATGTAAGATAATAAAGAATGAAAAAATAATGACCACCCTGTATACTCACAATCCACCTTAAAGGTAACCACTATCCTAATTTATATTCTTAATAAAAATTGAATATATTAAGGTATATGATGCGAAGCCCTGATGTGCGTATACATAGGTAAATAACTATAATCAAGTTAATTAATACCCATATTCTCATATATGATATACATGAAATATATATGTCTTGCAAAACATCATGCCATTAAACTTTGTGTCATATTGAAGGTCACTGTATACTTGTTTGATTTTAAATTTTTTCATTTAGTATTATGTTCGGTAGTGTTGTAAGAATGAGCTTTTCTTGGGCCTCCCCGGTGGCGCAGTGGTAGAGCGCTGGGTTGCGAAGCTGCCCGCGGCCAATGCAGCGCCGGTTCAATCCCCGGCTGCTCCCCGGCCACCGGAGGAGGGTCCCACATGGCGCGCAGACCTCTCCTGCCGCCCGCTGCTCCCCTCAGCAGTGTCCTTCGGTCCTTCTGCCTGCTCTGCTCCCCGCTCTGGCTCTGGTGAATTCTCTCACCCTCCCGCGCTTCTGACTGTACCCAGTGCATGTATAAACAAAACAAACAAACAAGCAAACAAATAAATAAAGAAAAACATGCCTCTAAAAAAAAAAAAAAAAAAGAATGAGCTTTTCTTGTTTTAAGCCACTGAGATGTTGAAGCTATATATTACCAAAGCATAACCTAGCATATACTGATTGATAAATATTGTTGCTTCCATTTTTTTATGAGTACAAAAGAGAGGCTGGGGTAAAGAAAATTAATTTAAAGCTGTAATTTTCTGAATAGTTGTCTTTTTACTTGTTAATTTTACTTACTTAATTCAATCAAGTTTAGCATTTATTCTCCTATGTACATTGTCTCAGATTTACAAATGAGACTTCTTTGATTAATGGAAGAGTATATTTGTAGCAATTCATGAAAAAGAGATATTCTAGACTGATTAAGACTGGATTAGAGTACTGAAGAAAAATAAAGCTTTTGATGCATTTGGGAGAAGGTTACCCTGCAGTGTGGGTACCATCTAATGTTCTTTCTGTTTCAGCTGGCTACCCTGAATTACTGATTTAAAGTATCTTGGAGGATTTATCATAATGCTATGTCTAATGGCTTCACAAATTGTTTCTTTTATGAGATTTCCCTAAGGAAATTGGGCAGTCATTTCATTTTGTCTCTGATACTGAAGTTGAACACACTGAAGTCATATGGCAGAATCTGGTTTATAAAAATAAAAACAAAAAAATAATTTCATTAAAAATAAACTTGGGGGAGTTCCAAAAACATTGGCTACAATGGTAATATTGAAAATGGGTGCTCGCTCCAGGGCCTCGCTGGTGGCGCAGCGGTTGAGCACCGGGCTGAGAAGCTGCCAGCAGCCTCTACAGCATCGATTCAATCCCCGGCCACCAGCGAGGGTCCCACATGGTGCGCAGACCCCTCCTGCCTCGCCCGCTGCTCCCCTCAGCAGTGTGCTTCGGTCTTTCTGCCTGTTCTGCTCCCCAATCTGGCTCTGGTGAATTCTCTCACCCTCCCGTGCTTCTGACTGTACCCAGTACTCGTATAAATAAATAAATAAATAAATAAATAAATAAATAAATAAATAAATAAATAAATAAATAAATCTTTTTAAAAAAGAAAGAAAGAAAACGGGTGCTCCAAACTTCTTGGGAATGATCTTAAATTTGAAAGTGTCTTTTAAGGCACATATCACAAAGAAAATATTCAGCAAATGAACACATTACTGTTAAGGGGCTAAGGAAATGACAGAGTAGAAGGACAATGGATGTGGCTTAAAAGGGGGAACATAAAAGCCCCTTGTGATATAGAAATGTTTTGTTTTATGACTTTAATGTCAACATCCTTATTTGTGAAGGTGGGCTAGAAATGCATGGGTTCTCTCTGTATTGTATACTATACAATTACCTAAAAATTAAAAAGTTTAAAAAAAAGGAAATGCAAAAAAAAGGGAGGAAATATTTGCAAAACACATATCTGGGTAAGGACATATCTAGAATATACCAAAAACAAAAACAAAAAGTCTGTTACACCTTAATAAATAACAAACAAACAAAAACCATCGTATCAAAAACTGGCCAAAATATTTGAGTTGATATTTCACCAAAAAATATGTGTACTGACTAATAAACATGTGAAAAGATAACATAATTAGTCATGAGGGGAATGCAAATAAAAATCACTATAAGACACACCCACTAGAATGACTGTAATTTTTCAAAAAGGAAGACAATATCTGGGGTTGGAGAAACAGAAATCTATATATGTTCCTGGTAGAAATGTAAAATTACTCATTTTATCTGTCAAAAAATTAGGCAGTTCCTCAAAATGTTACCCACATGACCCAGAAATCCCACTCCTAATGTCCGCACAAAAACTTTAACACATATCCACAGCAGAATTATTCATAATGACTAAAAAGCATTAGTAACCCAATGTCCATCAATTTACGAATGAATAAACAAAATGTGGCACAGCCATTCCATGGGATATTATTCAGTCATAGAAAGAAATGAAGAAATGGCTTCCGCATCTCTGTATGCTAGGTCAGAGAAGTCAGACACAAAAGACTCTGTATTTTGTTATTCCGTTTATGAAATATCATCAAAAAGTTATAAAGATAAAAAGATGGTTGGGAGTTGCCTGGTGTGGTGGTGGTGGTGGGTAACAGATTAATAGTAAATGTACGTGAAGGTTCATTTTGGGGTAATGAAAAAATGTTATGAAACTGATTTACGATGACGGTTTTGGTGATTTTACTAAACTGATTAAATATGCCCCAAAATCATTGGATTGCTTGTACACGTATGAAATAGAATTATATGATATGTGAAATGTGGCTCCTTAAAATAATTTCAAAGACAGCAAAAGAATTACACATCCTGATTATCTGTCAGAAGTGACTGGGTAGTGTATGTTCCGTTAAGAATACCAGTTGTTGCCCCGAACCCGCTGAGGGGGTGGGGGGTGGGGGAAAGGTGAGGGGGTGGGGTGACTTCCGGTTCCGGTTCTTTGTGCAGCTACAGCAACAGCTCTGAGGAAGATGGCGGCACAAGAGGGTTTCCAGTCAGTTACTCCGAGCACCAGTGCTGAAGCCTCAGAAGCGGAGAGCCTTCCGGCCAGCCGGATCCAGGATCAGACTTTGGGACCTTGCCTGCAAATGGGCATGCGGAGGAGCCTGGCGCCCAACCCGGAACTCTGCTACTTCCTGATGCACAGTGAGGCCGCTCTGAGACCAAGTGTAATGGCAGCCAGCCAAACGATGCCTCAGGGACCCCTCATAGGCCCCCCTGTGGCAGCCAGCCACGGGATGCTTCAGAGACCCCCCATGGGCTCCCCTCTGGCAGCCAGACACATGACGCTTCAGCGACCCCCCATGGGCTCCCCCATGGCAGCCAGACACAGGCTTCAGGGACCCCCCATGGGCTCCCCCGTGGCAGCCAGACACATGGTGCTTCGGGGATCCCCCATGGGCTCCCCCGTGGCAGCTAGACACATGATGCTTCGGGGGGCCCCCATGAGCTCCCCCGTGGCAGCCAGACACATGATGCTTCAGGGAACCCACGTGGGCTCCCATGTGGTAGCGAGCCACAGGATGCTTCATGGATCCCACACGGGCTCCCCCATGTCACTCAGCCACATGATGCTTCAGGGATGCCCCACGGACACCCCTGTGGCATCCCTGAGCTCACTGGAGCTCCCTCCAGCCCCACCTGGCCCTTCCCAGTCAGAGTTGGACCCATTTATGTCAGAGTTGGACCCATTTATGTCAGAGTTGGACCCATTTACGCCCCAGAAAGTCCAGCAGCAGATGGTCCAAGGCCGAAACCACAGTGCAAAGAAAAAGAAGATGGCTGACAGAACTCTGCCTCAAAAGGTGCTTGAACTGGTTCCGGAATCCCAGACCTATATGGACCTCTTGGCTTTTGAAAGGAAGCTGGACCAGACTACCGCGAGGAAGTGGCTCGATATCCAGGAGGCTTTGAAACGCCCCGTCAAGGAAAAGCGGAAACTGCGGATTTTCATTTCTAACACGTTCAGTCGCCCCAAGACGGACTGCAAGGACGGGGAAGGGTCAGCGGCTTCCTGGGAGCTGCGGGTGGAAGGCCGGCTCCTGGAGGATGCGGCGGCGTCCAGGTACTATGGCGCCAAACAAAAGAGGAAGTTCTCGTCCTTCCTGAAGTCCCTGGTGATCGAGCTGGACAAGGACGTGTACGGCCCGGACAGGTACCTGGTGGAGTGGCACCGGACCGCCACGACGCAGGAGGCGGACGGCTTCCAGGTGAGGCGGCCGGGGGACGCGAGCGTGTGGTGCACCATCATCCTGGTGCTGGATTACGTGCCCCCGCAGTTTAAGCTGGACCCTCGCCTGGCTCGACTCCTGGGCATCCACACCCAGACCCGCCCGGTGATCATCCAGGCGCTGTGGCAGTATGTGAAGACGCACGCGCTCCAGGACCCCCACGAGCGCGAGCTCATCGTCTGCGACCCGTACCTCCGGCAGATCTTCGAGTCTCCGCGCTTGAGATTCGCAGAGATCCCGGAGCGGCTGCACGCGCTGCTCATGCCGCCCGAGCCCGTCGTCATCCACTACATCATCGGGGTGGACGCCAACCACCCGAAAAAGCTGGCTTGTTACGACATCGACGTGGAAGTGGATGACGCCTTAAGCACCCACATGAACTCTCTTCTGCTGTCGCCGGCCGTCCAGCAGGACATCCTGGCCCTGGACAGCAAGATCCACGACACGATCGAGGCCATCAATGCGCTGAAGGCGCAGCGCGAGTTCATGCTGAGCTTCGCCTCGGACCCGCACGCGTTCATCAACGAGTGGCTGCAGGCCCAGTGCCAGGAGCTGCAGGCCGGGCCGGACGCGGAGGGCACCGCGGAGGAAGAGCGCCGGGCCGAGTTCTACCTGCAGCCCTGGGCTGAGGAGGCCGTGTGCCGGTACTTCTACTCCAAGCTGCAGCAGGGCCAGCAGGAACTGGAAGAAGCGCTGGGCTTCCAGAACCCCTAGGACCTCTCCCGCAGCCCCGACGGACTGCCCGGGGGCTCTCCTTGCACCTGTGCCTCCCAGCCCTGGCCGCGGCTCGCCGGCCTTTCCAGAGGCTGCCGCTGCTGCCAGGACGGCGCCGGGATGAAGCGGGTACCGCAGTTCTGTCTCACGGAACCCCGTGACTCTCCGCTCCCACCCCGACCCTTTCTCCCCACGCCCCAGCTTCTGTGGCCCCGGGCAGTCCCTGGGTGCCTCGGCCTGCCCCTCGGCCACATGGGCCCCCCGGCGGCGCAAGAGAGCGAGCCTGTGGCCTTCCCTGGCACTGCCAGTGGCCAGAGCCCAAGGCCAAGTGGGCTTCAAGGGCACCAGTCTTCCGGGTCCTGAGCTTCAGAATGCCCGCAGTGGGGAGCTTTCCTCACTTCTCTGAGACTGCAGCCTGGGGGCGCTCTACAAGCTAGCAGGGCGTCCGTCTAAGCATTGGAGTTGGCGCTTTTTTTTCCCTTTGCTTCTTTTTTTTTTTTTTCTCGATATTATGTTTATTTAGGTAGTGTGGGCTCACAACACGCTAAGTGATTTAAGAGAACAGGTTCCTACCTCCACCTAACCACCAAAGCACCTGCAGTCCCCCAGCACCGCCTCCTGGGCCCCTGCCTTCCCCCCCACACCCTTCCCCCCCCACCCTTCCCCCCTCCCCCCTCCCCCCCACCCTCTCCATCCGGGAGTCTCAGTTCTGCCCGTCTGATTTCTCACGTTTGTTTTGCTTTCGTTTTGTCTGTTCCTTTGTCTTGCTTTGCTCTCCTCCACCTGTGAGTCCAATCATCTGGCCTTTGTCTTTTTCCTTACTGATTTATTTCACTAGGATGAGCTCCTCCAGTGGTATCCATGAGAGTCCATCTTTTGAATAGCTGTGCAGTATCACGCAGTGCATATACACTGCCCCTTCTTTCTCCAGGGATCTGTCACTGGGCACTTCGATTCTGTTTCCAGAATTTGGCTGCTGTCCATAGTTTTGTCTGTTCCTTTGTTTCATTTGTTCTTGAACTATTATTGCTTCTTCCCCGCACATTCCCTATAACTGCTCTTTTTGGGATTCCCTCCTAGCTGGCCTAACGCAGAGTATCTGAATGGGGGAATCTTACCTTTCCCTGTCAAAGCCCCAGGGATATAACCTGGGGTATGTCAGTGGGTGGGGGGGGGTCCTGTTCCTTCCCGCTGGAGCTTGGCGGTCGGATTCATTCATTTCCTCCACCCCGGTTCTTTCATGGATAAACAGGGTAAAAGCCCTGGGCTGTCCCTTTTCCCTGTCCCTTGTCAACCCAGTCACCACCTGCTGATAACTTCTAGGGCGCTGCGAGTGAAAGCACCTGGGGATGGGGGCGAGTTGGGAGGGTGATCTTCCCTCTCCCCGCCTCATGGAGCGGGACTCTCCAGGCCCTTAGGTAGGGCCTTGTGATCTTGGGCCCTTGGAAGTGAAAAGGTTTTGCATCCTTTCAGGAAAGCCCCAGTTTCTTTTTCCAGGTTGTATCACTCCCCACCCCTCCCCCAGTTCAGCATATTCCAGTTTTGAAAACTCAACACAGCAGGAGAGACAGCTGGGCCCAGAGGGGACATTGGTTCAGCCTGGGCTCTGAACCCACAGAACTGGCAGAGCCCCTGATTCCTACCCCTCTCCTCAGGCTCCTATCCCTGCCTCTTCCACTCTGAGAGAGTAGAATTTTCTCTCCATCTTCCCCTTCCTGCCACAGACCCTCCCCTCCCTTGAAAGATTCTCCCCCCAGGGCCAGTGGAGCTGAAAGGACCAGAAGAAGCTTGGCACTCCTACACGGTGACCCTACTGAAAATAACTTTAAAACTAAAGTTGTGTTCCCTTGTTGTTATCACCCAGCTTTAATAAAAGAATCTTTTGAAGTTGAAAAACATACTGGGGTATTCTTTGTGATTATTCTCTCTATTGAGGTCTGCTGGGAACTCTAATCAGAGTCATATAATAATGCAGAATTTTTAATGTAACTGTTATCTTGGACGGCCTATTGCTTCCTTTGGTGTAAATGATGAAAAAAAAAGTAATGTCTTCTTTTAATTCAACTCAATTGCGGTGTTGTTTTAGTTCCATTTCAAAATGATTGAGTAATATTCTTTCTCAGATGCATTTACCAGTCACTCTAGTCACACTGTTGGAACAATCTTCTGCAGGGAATCTGCAGATAATGAACAAAAGCAAGGATCTTTATCTAGATAGTTGCAAAGTGCTTCTATACATAGGTCTTAAATATTTGGTTTATTGGGGCCTCCCTGGTGGTGCAGGCGGTTGAGCACAGCGCTGTGAAGCTGTCCGCAGCCTCTGCAGTGCCGGTTCGATCCCTGCTGGCCTTGGAGCAATCCACATGGCCAGCAGACCTCTCCTGTCTCGCCCACTGCTCCCCTCAGCAGTGTATTTCAGTCTGTCTGCCTGTTCTGTTCCCTGCTCTGTCTCTGGTGAATCCTCTCACCCTTCCGCGTATCTGGCCTGTACCCCGGTTCTTGGATAAATGAAATAAATCTTTTTAAGAAAATATTTGGGTTATTGCTGACTTCCACCAAAGATGAATTTTCTAGAAGTAGCCGTGAGGCATCATTTGAAAAATGACCTACGAAAGAAATTCATAGTGACAAAAGTACATTGTGCAGATTAACATTCCAATTTTTGTCATTTAATTAAATACATTCTTGTAAAGTGTGCTATGGATTATATGTGTGTGCACATATGAATTAAAAATTAAAGCTGTCTCTACTCACAATCAAACTGCAGAAAAGTCCCAAGAAATATGAAAAAAAAAAAAACCTTGTAGAATAACTGAATTTAGCACAATTTTATGGGATAAAATCAATCTGTAAAAATCAGTTATATAGATCATTTTTTATTGCTAAATAATATCCCATTGTATGAATTACCAGTTTATATTACTTAAAATAGTTATCACTTATTGAAGGTCCTCTTGGCCACTTACATGTTTTGCCTATTTTTAATGAAGCTGTTTTAAATATCCAGGTGTAAGTTTTGGTGTGGACATAAGTTGTTGATTTTTTTTAACTCATCTGGGTAAATACCTAAGCACAATTCCTGAGTATAGAGTATAGAGTAAAACTTATATAGAGTTTTACTTAAAGAGTAAAACTATATTAAGCTTAGTAAGAAACTGCCAGGCTGTCTTCTAAAGTAGCTGGGCTATTTTGCATTGCCACCAGCAATAAATGAGAATTCCTATTTCTCCACATCCTCACTAGCATTTAGAATGGTCATTGTTTTGGATTTTAGGCATTCTGATGCATATGTATTGCATTATGTGCTGTATTTTGTTTCAATTCTTAATCCCCTGATGATATATTATGGTGAGCACTTTCTCACATGCTCATTTGCCATATGTGTATGTTCTTGGTGTTCTGTTTCCTTATTGTTGAGTTTTAAGAGTTATTTGTATATTTTGGACACAGTCCTTTATAAGATGTATTTTGCAAAGATTTTCTCCCAGTCTGTGGCTTGTCTACATTTGATTAACAGTGTATTTTCTAGAAAAGCAGTTTTTCATTTCAAATAAGTCCAGCTTTTTCCATTTTCCTCTTTCATGAACCATACTTTTGGTGTTAGATCTAAAAAGTCACGTCCAAATCCAAGGTCACATAACTTTTCTCCCATATTATCTTCTAGTAATTTTATACTTTTGCATTTTACAATTAGTTCTATGATCAATTTTGAGTAAATTTTCATGAAAGGCGTAAGATCTATGTCTACATTCATTTTTTGCATGAGGATTTTCATAGTACCCTTTGTTCAAAAGATTATTTTTTTCTCCACTGAATTTTGTTTCTTTGTCAAAGATCAGTTGATTACATTTGTGAGAGTAGTTCAGTGCTATCATTCTGTTCTATTGATCTGTTTATCTATCTGTCATTATCACACTGTCTTATTACTATAGCTTTATAGTAAGTCTTAGAATCCAACAGCTTCAGTCCTCCAGCTTTGTACAATACTTTTTCAATATTGTGTTAACTTTTCTGGGTCTTTTGCTTCTTCAAATAAACTTTAGAACCTGTCTATCAACATCCACAAAATAACTTACTGGGATTTTGACTGAAATTGCATTGAATCTAGGGCTCAAGTTTGGAAGAACTGACATCTTAGTGATAAAGTCTATCCATTGTTAAAATAAAAAACAGAGACCAGCCTTGAAACTTTCCTGAGCAGATAATACCAGTTTAGACCTAAAAACTGAGCTTAATTCAGCTTAAAAGACTAATTCGAACTCTGTTATTTTTTGTTTACAAGTCTGGCAATCATAAACAAGTTTCCCAAGATTGATATGAGGTATCATATTAGTCAATTTTCTATCATTTAAAAACACTGATATTATAACCAAACACTGCCTCCTCACTTAAAAAGCTACTTTATGGGCCTCCCCAGTGGCGCAGCAGTTGAGCACTGGGTTGCGAAGCTGCCCGCAGCCTCTGCAGTGCCAGTTCGATCCCCGGCTGCTCCCCGGCTACCGGAGGAGGGTCCCACATGGCGCGCAGACCTCTCCTGCCGCCCGCTGCTCCCCTCAGCAGTGTACTTCGCTCCTTCTGCCTGCTCTGCTCCCCGCTCTGGCTCTGGTGAATTCTCTCACCCTCCCGTGCTTCTGACTGTACCAAGTGCTTGTATGTATGTATGTATCAATCAATCAATAAATAAATCTTTAAAAATAAAAATAAAAAGCTACTTTATAACAATATACCCATGAGCCTTATTCCATGTTGGTGGTGTTAGTGGTCCCAGTATGCAAAGTGTCTTTTTGGTGTATGCTCCATAAACTTTTACTAATCAATGCTTCAGTGGGACCTCCCTGGTGGCGCGGGGTTAAAGTCTTAGCATTATCAAGCTATCCCCAGCCAGGGAGCTGAGCTAACCCTCATGGTGTAGCAGACCTCTCCTGCCTTGCCCATTGCTCCCCTCAGCAGCGTATTTTAGTAGATCTGCCTGTTCTCCTCCCCACTTTGTCTCTAGAGAA